AATGTAAAATGTACAAAGAAAAAATAGCATTGAAAATTTTGTAAATGATCATTTTTATCAATCCCCTTGTTCTTCTATACAAATTTATCAAAAGCGAAGGACTTTGTGTTTGAGAAGAAAAGGTAAAATATCAAGAAACCCAATCAGAAGCAAAACATATTAAATTCCCTGATGAAACTAACCTGCCAGCAGAAACTCAGATTTAAACGTCGAAGTTTAAGAAAACTAAAGGCATACTTAAGGCTGACATCTGTGATTCTTTTGCAGCCATACAAATCTAGTTCTTGCAAACCTGAGGGGAAAAATAAATAATTATCATAAATCAGTTTCTCTGATGATATCCTTAAATTATATAATCAAACAATCGTCTGTATTTAAATATTAACATATTCTGCATACCTTTCAATCTAATAATTGAGAAACCATTTTCAACTTCTTCTCCTCTTGTTCTCAACCCCATCCCTGTGAGTCCAGCATCTGTTACTTTGCGACACAATCTCAGTTTGAGGGATCGAAGCCAAACTTGGTGTTGGAAAATGGCCTGAACAGACATGTCTGTCACTGCATTGGAACAGCTTCCAAGGTCAAGATATGTTAGCCTAGGAAGGTTCTCTGCTATACGACACAAAGTTCTCTCACATAAGGGAAGTCTAGCGAGATTAAGTCGTTGAAACTGCAGATTTACAGAGGAGCAAAGTCCCCTCTCAATGCCCTCACCTGATACCTGACGACACATTGACAGGTTTAAATTTACTAATTTCTTGAGATGACAGAGTTCTGATATGCCTGTGTTTGTTATGGGATAGCATTCCCCTATACTGAGCATCAAAAGGTTCTTTAGGTTGTGACAGATAGCTATAAGAGAAGGATCACCAATGACACGACAATTACTTAGATCTAATTTAGTGAGACTCTGTTGGTACTCTGTGAGTCTGAGTATGCCTTCATTGTTCAGCTCTTTGCAAAAATTAAGATCCAGAGTTTCAAGATGTAGTTCTGGTACTTCTGCTAGTTGTGACAATGCTGCATCATCAATGCCCGTGACACCAAAACTCAACTTTGCTTTTGACTCAATGTGTTTTAATATATTAACGAATGTCAGAACACTTTCTGATGCCATTGTGTAGCCAGATTCTAACATGTCACCAGGATAATATTCTTTACACAGCTCTAAATCGAAAGAGATATGACATCTTGTCAATGACAGATCTTCTAAATTGGAAGCAATTGCCATAAATCTATTGAAAAGGGCATCCGACAAATTCCAATTTGAATCAAGTCTTAGCTTCCTAAGTTTGACAAGAGTGTTACTAAGCAGAATAACATCAGATTTCTGCTCCAGAACCCTTCCTGACTTTAAAAGTTTATAACACCTACTCACATCGAGAGTTTCTAAATGTGAGCACTTTAATAAAATACGTACAATGGTCTTTTCTGATATATCACAATCTTCTATGGAAAGAGACTGCATTTGTGGACAGAATCTATTCCAAAATTTGGTTAATTTTCTTCCTAGTTTTACGTTTTTGAACACAAAATGCAGAAATGTTCCAAGACTATTTTCAAAGACTTGTAGTGGTCTAGTGAGGTCACCACACAATACTACTCCTTCATTGCTATGCAGTTTGTGGTATTTTGATGCATTATGCCACAAATGGCACACTTGCGAGGCACTTATTCTGTCTGATAAAGGCAGGAACTCCAGGATATATATTATAATCTGGAATATGAAAACAGTTTAAAATATAACAATGACGAGGCAATGAAAAAAATTTGTTTTAGTAGAATGTTTTTAAGAGGTGACCACATAAGCTTCAACTTTTAAAAACGAAAGATTAAAACACACGTCACAATAAAATATTCAAGATCATAAACTACATAATCTTATGCATAACTGATTAGATGCCACTGCAGATGTTGAGAATCCTTACCTCAATGGGAAGTTTAACAAATTCATCGCTTTCAGTACTTCCAAGTCTACTTTCACTTGAGATTGTTATGACGGACTGCATGTCAGATTGCTGTGTGTCTGTGTAATGTCTGTTATTAATGCAATTAACATGGATACTTTTTTGAAGACCTTCAACATAAGTGTTTCCTGCTACCAGCTGATTTTCTAGTTGCACATTCCGTATGTGGTTTAGTTTTATATCATGAGATGGCATGGTGGATGCTATGATGCAAACTTTTACCGCTAGCTGTCTCGTACGTCTGATTTTGATGAACATGTTTGTTGGGTGTTTTCACGTGAAGGTTGTGAATTCCTTAGGGGACCTGCTCCAAAACAATGTTGGTGAGTGCGGCCGCCTACTCGCTTTTGTTCAATCCTTGGGGTGAAAACAACTCCCTACCAAATGGAAAAGCTAATTGTTACAGGAAGCGTGCGGTCTCTCAGACTGACTGACACCGAGCTGTCAAGCGAAACATCTGATCCTTCACTACCCGTTATGCCACATCGTAAATTGCCTGGACGACTACAACGAAACATTCTTATAGTTTAAAAATATTCATGATATAAATGGACATTTTGAGTTATTTTTCAGTTTTATCCGCCCTGTTTTCATTTCGACTATACATAACATTAAACATCTCCGTTTTTAAAATCCACGTGGTTACGGACGAAATTCAACCAAACGAAAACATGTCAAGAAACGTCAGTGACAGTTAATTTGCATCAAACTAATATGTGTAATCTGCTAATATTAATACTGTTTTTGAGTGGTCGTTTAACTGAAACTAGCAGAAAAACAAATGGCTGTGACAGCTGTAATGGTGTTTGTGGTTAGAGTATACATACGATGCACTGATTGTTTTGTTCATGTTACGGTTATTGTTTAAGAAACAAAGGGGAATATTTCACTGTCGTTGTTTGGTGCGTAGGAGCGAACTGTGAGTTTGTGACATTTGAA